TACTTTTCTTAAAACTTCCCCTTGATGTCAATAAAATGGAAGCTAACAAGATGGTAGCCTTTAAATTCTTGGAGGCCATCAAAGAGCTGCGCAGTGTGATCTAATTAAATGGGCATTGGTTACGCCCCCAGCCTCCATCCAAATCCATCCACCATGGGCCATCCACTTCTCGTGGCGGTGGCACCACCGAAAAACCAGCGAAACCTGATGACAATATTATTGTTAAATTGCAAAGCGCACAAATCAAATTAACAACGCGTCCTGCACCGCAGAAAAATGGTTGGCGATGTCGTTGGCAACCACAGTGGTTGCGAATCCTCCCCGAACAGGGCCAAAAGCGGAGAACGGAGAGCCACCCAACCGAATAGATCCCGGATCCCAAAAACAGCCACCCAGTCAAACAGTCAAAAGGAAGCAGCGCTCCCCAGTCCACAAGGCCACACCACCCAAACCACCCAACCACCAGCTGTGACCCGACGGCGTTAATGACGCACAAGTGTGACACTTTTCTGCAGCCACAGTGGTTTAATAGTGGGTTAAGGGCTGTGAAATTATTATTTATTAAAATACAAAACAAATAAGTGGAAAATAAAAGCTAGTTCAATTTTTGCATTGCTTATTTCTTAAACATTATTCCTGTTGAAAAAAAGATTTCATATCCTTTATCCTTTTTTTAAATAAACAAATTAAATATATAAAAATGTTATTTTAAAAAAATAATGACCACTGTGCCCACAAGTAAAGTGCAAAACAGAAGGAATTTGTCAAAAATTGCACATTTTATCTCAGTGTATTGACAATAAGAACAAGGAGAACAGGGAACAGCATGAATAAATGAAAGCAGAAAATCAGTTGATTTTAATATGAAATTTCACGCTGCCGCTCTCTCTTTTTTTACGCTCACCGGGAACACAAAAAAAAATAAAAAAACGGGAAAACGCAGTTTAATTGAAAATTATCGCAACATGGTTGTCACGCAATTATTTCACGTTATCACCAAACCAAAAGAAGCAAAGAAAAAAACGCGAATCGAAGGGTGGAAAGTGGAAATTTGGGTGGGGGGAAATAGCTGCTGAGATATCATTTATAAATCGCCGGGCGTTGCGAATTTTTCAAAACAAGTGCAGAGGGGAAAACCACCACTGAAACCACCGAGCCACCGAACCACCGTAGGCCACCTGTGCCACACACAATGTATCTCTTCTCGCTAGAAGATACATTTATATCTTTTGCGTTGCCATGGCGTGAAATTTTAATTGCCCAAAAAAATCACAAGACTTTCGCCATCATAAATGTAATAATTGTGGGGTCGCCGAGATCAAAGTTCAAGCTGTCGATTGGCATTGGGTCAATGATTAGATGAACTTTTAAAATGGAATATAGTATTTCAATTAATTACTTAAATTCTGCTTATAGATAGAAATATAAAAAAAGATAAAAATATATTATATGAAAAAAAAATTTATTTAAAAACAAGCGTTTTAAAAATCTTATTATTATTAGAGAATCTATTTATATGGAATATGACATTTAAATTAATAAATCAAATTCTCCTAAAAATATAAATAATATTATATCAAATAACAAAAAATTACAGTTACTAATGCGTGAAAAAATTAAAAGATATTTAAAAATCAAGATTACTTAAAATCTAAAGTCTCCGAAATATATTATTGAAATATAAAACAGTATAAAATATTATTTATTATAGAGCTCTGAAACATTCTTTTTATTAAAATCGTTGCTAATGACTTTACTTTTGATTTTTCAGCTGGACCTAATCCTAATTGCTCTATTAAAATCGCCCCCAAAAAAAAGCAGACAAGTCAATTGAGCAAGTCAGAAACGAGTTGAGGCCTTCGAGGTTCGAACAAAAAACAGGATCAACCCTAATCCCCGCGGCAGCCAACTAATTGACTTATTGAGGGCCTCATTAACCCAGGCCAACCTGTACAGGTCCCGCTCCACGTTGCCTACACCCCCGACTATTCCAGAGCAGAACAGAGCAAAAGAAATAAAAAGGGAAACGCTAAACGGATGAATAGAACTCAGAACCAGGGGCACATTAATCAATTCGAATCAAACAATGAGCGATTCAGTTGAACTCGAAATGTTTTCCGTAAACAATGAGGATCTGGCCATCAATGAAAGTGAACAGGTTGGGAACCGAGAATCGAGAACTGAGAACCGAGGAATAAAAACTGAGAATCAAGAATCGAGAACTGAGAAATCGCTTAGGACAATGCAGAGGAAATGGTCAGGATCATGGGGTGTGTGTTGTTGGCTCAATCAATGCCAGTTAAACAAGTGTTATGAATGATTTGATGTTTTCATTTGTCCCCGCGTTTTTTCTGTTCTGTTTTCTGTTTTATTTGATTTTTTCTTTTGGGAATCTGAAAACCAAAACCCCAACAAACCGCACAAAGGCGAGAGTGAAAAATCCCCGATAATAGTTGGGATTTCACTTTCAGGTCTCTCGGTCTTTTGGTCTCTCAGACAAACTGGCACCGTCGACGACCGCAGTGGGTATATAGCCTGTATTTATATAGTATACACATATGACATGATTTATGAGGATCCACGCCGTATTCCGTATTTTGTAACCCCCCCCATTGTCCTGACCACGGATTTGTGTAAGAAATGCTGAAAAATGTTTCAATAAACTGTCGCGGGTTGCTGCAATCGCTGCTCAATGGGAGGTCTCAAAGCTACAGAACTACAAAACTCAGGGAACGAAAATAACTGTTATTGTAAATTTTTCATACAAAAAAATCACGCACTTAGTAGGGTCCTAAAATTTTTTTAAATACACCACAATTTTTATTAGCCATTGTAGTTTACAAATCCGTAATGATTTTTATTTTTTGATTTTTATAATAAAACTCAAAAAATAACTGTTATTTTTTGATTTTTATGAATAACAGTTATTCCCTTGACATTTTTGAAAAAATGACATAATTAAAAAAAACATAATACCCGTGCTTTTTATAACTTACTAAAAATTTGTTAAAAAAGGCAACCGCGCATATTTTATACCTATATTTTTTTAAAATTTTGTTTACCCACAAAATCGGCATAAATCAAGTTTGAGTTTTATTTTGATCACGACGAATAACTGTTATTTGTCAACTTTTATTATAAAACTCAAAAAATAACAGTTATTCTTTGAGTTTTACTTTACAAATCAGAAAATAACTGTTAAAGTGTGATTTTTAAAATAAAACTTATAACAGTTACGTTCCCTGACAAAACTACGAAACCTTTATCCAATAACCGGTTGGGGAGATGCCACAATTCGACAGAAATTAACAACTTAATTGACCAAAAGAATTTAAATTCAAAAAGGAGGTACTACAATAGCATATATATTATTTTATTTTAAAATTGTATGCTATAAACCTAATTGTTTATTGAAAGTAATTTAAGTGGATGGATTTAAAATTTTGATAAAAATAGACTTATTTTTTCGGGTTTTCTGTCATAATTTTGTCAAATCAACACTCACAGTGAAACGACCCACTGTTTTGAGCAGCTTGCGACCTAAACTAACATTTCTCATCACTTTTCGAAAAACTAATTTTATTTTATCAATTTTCGCATTTTTGATAAGGGCAAATCAAGATTTTGATTTTTGGAACAAACTTGAAATTTTTCTTATCGATTTTTTGCTGTAACTTGGGCCAAAATGGTCCCAAAACATAAAGGCGTACTGATTTGAGCAGCTAAAAATTTAATAATTAACATCAGTAAACTTGCCGTCAGATTTAAGAAAAATAAATATTTGACCCAAATTTACGTTTTTGATAACGGGGTACATCATGATTTTTAACGAAAAAAGGCAAAAAAATAAAATGTCCAGGTTTTTATGCCAATCGATTGGAAATTTAATAACGAGCTCAAAAAGGTATGACAATCCATATTTGGATCAATATTTATTTTGTTACGGTCAAAAAACGAATTATTTTTATGAGATAAATTGAGATCTGGGTTTTTGCTAAATATTTGAATTTTTTCTGTTTGTTTTTTTGCTGTAACTTGGCCAAAAATTGTCTTACACAAAAAATACATACTGTTTTGAACAGATAACAAAATAATAAATTAATCCATGACACATTCCGGCTAATCTTGAATAAATAAAATTTTCGCAAATTTTCAATTTTTTTATAAGTTGGTATTACCGTATTTCCCCCCATTCCCACAGTCCTTTATTTTTCCTTGGTATTTTATTTTTTCTGGGGGGAGGCGTGACTCTTAGGGGGAAAACAAACAACAAACAAGAAAAACAGACGGAGAAAAGTGGCAAATTTTCAAACAAATTTAATTTCCGGCCTTTCGGGTCAGATAGATTGGCAAACATCATTTATCATCTTGGGTCAATGGAGCAGGTACAGATGGATTTACCACAGAAAGGGGGAGAATTTTTTTTTACTTTCCTTCTTTTTTGGGCCACAAAATGTGCTTGCATTCGTTGGTTTCTCACGCAAATTGAAACATCAATTGAGTCATTAATTTAATTATGATATTGAACAATTTTTATATATAAAAATATAAAAAAACCAGAAACAATAAATTTAATATCGAAATAGTAAATAAATATAATACATCAAAATATATTCCTCAAATAGTAAAGAAAAATAATTGGAAAAAGTCCCTGTGATTTAACTAAAACTCCAAAAATTGTAGCAAGCCAAGATTTGTGTGTACATGTCATTTTCCCAGAATTTCAGTGCAACTCAAAAAAGGCTGCGGCTGTAAAAAAGGATTTTAGAGGCCTCAAAAAAAAAGAGTGAGAGTGCGAGCCGCGTGTGGGAAGCGTGTGGATGGATGGAATTACTCTAGGGACCAGGTAAATTGTCCTTGACTCCCGGCGACGGCATTGCATAAAATTTGCTAAGCAGTGGGCCTGCACAGGTAGGCCTGCCTACAGATGACTCAACTGAATGCAACCAGCCCGCAGAAACCTCAGAAGGTTTACGGGGAAAAAGGAGAAGAGAGAGCGGTTGTCTTTAGCCTTTTGTATTTATTTTAGAGGGTTTGCTCGTCGAATGGCAATTTAGCTATTCATCGGAATCGCTGGCCGACGGCGATTTGCGGCTTCCCTCGTCCTGTGCCCGAGGCGCTGGCGGAGAGGAGGAAGGATCCTCCCGATGATGGGGCAGCTCCTCCAGGGGTATCTCCTCGCCCTCGCCGTCGATAAAGCCCGAGTGTCCCGTCTTCCGCTGTGGGGTTTGGGTCACTATCCGCTTGCCCTCGCCCGTCCAGTAGACGCCCTCGATGTCGCCCTCGCGAACCTCTCGAACCTCGAATTCTTGAGGATCCTGCGGCTCCCTGGCCTCCGCTGCGGTCTCCTCGCCTTCTAGTTCACTGGTTTCCTGCTCCGAGCTACCACTGGTGGATCCCTCCTGATCCCGACCATCCTGGCCAGCGGAACTCATCCGCAGCTTGCGCATCTCGTTCAGCTCCTCTTCGCTCAGATCCTCCGCGGAAATCTCCCGCGACCTTGTCGTATACGGATGATACTCCTCCTCCTCCTGCTCCCGCAGCTGCAGCTCCTCCTGCAGTTCGTCCTCCTGTCTCTCCCGCAGCTCCTGCGTTTCCTGCAGCGCCTCGCGCAGCTCCTTCAGCTGCATGGCCAGGCGACGGCGGAACTCCTCGTCCTCATCGGCATTGAAGTACAGACTGCGATTGTCGCCCTTGAAGATGGGCAGAAATCTAAAGGGAACAGGACGACCTCCCAAAAGGTTCAATCGCCCTTGGAGCAGGCGACCCAAGAGATCCAGGCAGCTACTTTTGGCAGCAACAGGAGCCGAAGACTCCAGGTGGAAGGACCTTTTCAGCAGGATCAGAAAGGTGCTCTTGAAAACCGAACGTTGCATTTTTTTTCTAGATTTTACAGTGATATATTTGTTATATGGGTTTTCCGCGCGGTTTTACTTTTTTAATTTTTTTTTTGGTTTTGTAAGAACTGAGAGCCTTGCCGATTTCTTTATGCTTTTCAGAATTTTTCTATTGCAGATGTATTTTTTTGAGAAATTTTGGTTTCTTGATTTTTAGACGAAAAAAATTTAAAAACTATAGAATTTTAGTTTGTTGTTTAGGAGTCGGTGGCCGGCTAACGACTGATGAAATGGGGTTCTGTGGACGGGGCCCCAAAATCACCAGGCAGCTGACTGAAAAGGCATCGCCTACTAAAATCGTAAGCGGAATGCCCCGCCTGCTGTTTTTTCTTCTTTTTTTTTGAGAACAGGAACCGTAATCCCATAAAGCAATTGACTTTGCTAACCGTTTCGCAAATAATAATAATAAAAATAGAATAAAAAGGGAGGAAAATTTCGGTGGAAAACAGCGAAAAAAAGGAAGGATGGATATTTTTGGGATAGGGTGACGAAAAAAAGGATTTGCTGGGGTTAGAATTCGCGCGAAATTGCATCTTTTATGACGCAGGATTAGGGTTACGTTCGTACTGTATGTATATAATAACCCTAGCCCAAAACCCTAAAAATCCTGTCTACCTGCCACGCCCCCCGCCCCTTGGCTAATTATGTCATTTGGCGTAAGTCAAGGCTGCAAAGTCAATTGCGGAAAATGGGTAAAAATGTGACACAAACGAGCCGAGAAAATGTCATAAAAATTGGGTTGGGTAAAAAAAGGAAGAGGGGTAGGGGATTTAACAAATGCAACTGAAAGTGCTATCGGGGGAACCCACATCATATATAAGGTTACTGATCTAAATTAAGGCAGTCAAAAAAATATAACTAAAAATTTGCAGATATATCTTATTAAATTAAATTAAATATTTAAAACCATATTTCATTTCGCTTAAAATCATGGGAATAAATCTATCTTGATGTTTGAGCAAAATTATTTTATTATGAGTATCTAAAAAAAAAAAGATATAATTTGAATTTTAAAAAAAGAATTTTACTCCCTTTATAATCGGAAGAATAAATTTATCTTGATTTTTATGCTGAAGTTCGCTGCTTTAAAAAATAATCAAATATTTCGAATGTCTCGAACAAGGCGTAATCTCCAATTTAGAGTGCCTCCAACTCCTCAAACTCCATTGTTGGGGCTCATAAAAATTCGCAAAAACATATATATATATATTCTAGGTCTCGGCGCTTTTTAGTCCGACCTTTTACCCCTGTTTGCCCATTTCCGCCATTTCCACCAACATGTTGTCGTCAGTGTCCAGGACAATTTGCCTGCAATATTGCGTTGACAGCCACGAGAAATAATAGCCCAACAATTTATACAATTTATGAGTTTGTGTGCCCCATCAGGGACGGCGGGTTGAGCAGGGGGTGTTTTCGGGCCACGGGAAAGGGTTACCAAAAAAATGTGTGTAGCATACTTAAGCGGGCGTCGGTGGGTGGTGGTGGTGGTGGTGGTGGTGTATCAAATGGCACATTGTGCAAAAAAAAACGAACACACAAAAAAACCCAGCAAAATCACAGTCGAAAATCATAAATTCGGCATGTCTAATGACAATTTGCAGCTCCACATGAGGGGGTTAAATAAAAAGTTAGGAGAGAGTGAGTTTTTATCGTTTTTGATTCGTTTTGATGTTGCGCCCTTTTATGTGAGCGCATAAAAGTCGTCTGTTTGTTGGTTCGCTTTCGGTCCAAGGTTCTCGGGATTCCGGGTTCTCAAAGCACGACGACGCCATGGACCGCAGACCAATTTGAAAATGACGCAGTCTTCGTTGCCAAAAACCCCTTGCAAAACTCCCCCCACCAACCTCATTGCTTTATGATCGCTGAAAAATTGTTTATTGACAAAAATTGATAACTCCCACTTGGGGAAATAGGTTTATATTGATAGGAAACAATAGATTTATGCTGAACAGAAAATATTAATGAAAGAATTCTTAAGGGATTTTTAAGATATGAAAATATTTTAAAACGTTATATAGAAAATAAATAATAAATAATATGATTTAAAGAAATGGAAATATTTTGAAAACTTAAATTGAAAATAATAAAAATCTAACATGGTTCTAAACATAAAATAGCTATAAAATAAATATTTCAAAAAGTTTAAGGAAAAACAATACAAAATAAATCGAGTTTTAAAAGGAATTTGTTTTAATTTTAAAAAAGTTAATAAATAAATTTTATTTTAATGTTATTTAAACAACAATTAAACGGAAACTAGTAGTCAATAAAACGAAGGCTTAAAAAGTGTCCTGAAATAAATACCAGCAGCTGGCGGCGGTCCTTTTTGGGACATTTATGAGGCCAACGGCTGGCCGATGCCAGACGCATCCGCAGTATAAATCAAACCCGTCCGAGGATCCCTCAAACATCCCATTGAGATCTTATTATTGAGTGGACTTGGACTCCAGTTGCAGTTCCATGGGCCATTCGCCATCCATGTGGCCATAACTCATCCGGCGGAGTTGTTGGCCACCGAAAATGAAGCAATCATGGCCGAGAAAATGGTAACAGCCCCGGGTAATTGTTGTTTGGCATTTTGGAATTTTGTATTTGGCCGATGATGTCACCGCACAGGGAGAACTGAAACTGAAGCTAAAACTAGAATGGAAAGGGGCACCCCCGGCATTGTCGTTTTCACTTCCTGGCCGAGGTCCATTGTCTCCTTCGAGATTTTACGATTGTTTACTGCTGCTTCTGTGTGCCTCTGACTTTTGGCTTCTTCCTCCATCAAATGGCCAACAAAGCCCCACAGTTCGTAGCAGCAACAGAGACAGAGACTCTAAACCAAAACCGAACCAAACCAAACCGAACCCATTGTGGCCAAGGCACTTTGGGACATTCAGCAGCTCGTGGGTGTTCCCTTTTCCCATTTTCAGGCCCCCCATCTTGGCTCATTTAAGTCCCGATAAATACGCATTTGATTTGGGTCCTGATGGGCAGTTGGGGGATGGGATAGATAATAGAATTCGAATCGAATCGGTCCAGCTTATTAAATCAACCCTTCTCGGCCGAGTCCCTTGTTTACCCAAACTATTAGCTGCAAGCTGGCGTGGATTTGCGGCCACTGGCCATTGAAAGTTTGACCCGTGCGGTGGGGGGTTAAAAAAGAAAGTCAGGGAAGCCAGGAAAGAAACAAAATAAAATGTAGTCTCTTTGACGAACATACAATTACCCTCTCAGAAATATTCACTGGAAAAAAAGGGAAAACATATTTATTTATTTATTATATTTTTTATTTTTTTTACGTTTTGCTTCTAATGATAATAGGTAACATGTAAAAAAAGCAAGTAAAAGGCATAATAAAAAATTAATATATTTTTTTGTAGTTTTAAATGAATTTATAAAATATTTTTTAAATTTTTAACCACTTAAGTACAACGCAAATCAAAAAAAATTATCTTGTTTTTAAATAATTTCATATATTATTTCCTTATTTTATAACCACTTATTATTATTACTATTATTTTTTGTTAAGCCTAAAGCTTATCAAGAAATAATCATACCCACTGTAGAAGGGTATCACTTGAAAGAGTGACATAAAAATAAGCATAAAACTAAATGTGCCACATTGAGGAATGGACAAGGAGTTGGACCCAAGGGGTTAAGGGGCTAAGGGGTTAAGGCCGTGTGGGTCAGTGTGAGGCGTTTAAGTTGATTTCGTTTTGAATGTTTATTTTATTGCGTGGAAAATGACGCCAACGTGGCCAAGAAATGGTGACTGCTCTCTGCTTATGCCATTCTGACCATTCGGACCATTCGAACCATTTCGGCCATGGCTAGGTGGATTTGGCCACGGATCTCGATGTGAACTTGGCTCCAGTCGCTTTTATGGCCGGCGATTGTATCGCGAATTTCGTACGCAATAAAATTCAAATATACCTGCGATAAAAATCAAATCTTGTTGGTCATTCGAGGCGTATTCCACCCATTCCACTCATTTTGGCGACCCAATTGGGGGTATCCCATTGCGGCTGTTATGCGTTTCAATTTTCCCTTACTGCCGGCGATTCGGTTTTATTGGGTCTCCATCTGGGCGCAAAAAGATTGGATTAACAGCGCATAAGATAATGGCAATGGATTCGAACGACCTACGACATCTAGCCATAATCCCCGTCACCTGATCTCTTCACAAATAAGATTCAGATTTATTTTCAGTCAGTGAAATTTATTATTCATAATAAATAACAAAAAGTTATGGGTTAAAATGCGGATATGCAGATAGTAATTCTATTTTGTATATCTGATTTTATTTCGTGCATTTATATACTTAAATCATCGATATATTATCTTAGTTTTATATACAAATTTAATTTATTAACTATACTACCTATATCCTATAAATAATATAAATAATATATAATTTAACATTTTATAAAAATAATTTAAGATTACCTAAAATTAAGGGCAATCTTGTTCCCACAAAATATTTTTTTCAGGTGAAAAAGTTGAGAAATCAATTTCCCTGGCTTGGTGACAATTCAAAAAAGACCGACACTGTGGAAAAATTCCAGGAAAGTGACCAACTGCGGTTAGTGATTGGCCGTCGGTTTAGTTTCAATTTCAGGTTGAGTTTCGTATACGTATTCGTTTTCGGTTTTTCGGCTTTTCGGTTCCTTGGCTTCGATTTTGAGTTGGAGGATGCAGATACTAATGAAGTGCTCGCTGTATCTGCAGTTCTGGGCCCCCGTTGCGTTGTCGGATGCATTTGGCAAATAAAACACCTACCGACAAGCCAGATACGCCAGATATATAAGTTAGATAGGATGGAAGGACCCAGCGTGCCGTCCACACAAAAGGACAACCGACTCGAACCAACGCAACTGGACTGCAACTGCTGCCAAGGATGAAAAGGCCATGGATGGTCTAGATGGGCCCAAACAGTAGGAGCCCAAAGACAGAAGACTGAGAGAAAACTGCAGTTGGGAATCGAGAACGAGAACGAGAACGAGAACTGCAGGGCAATTAGAACATTATCAGGCGGCAATAATCGGCTCGTTTGCACCCAAGTGTCGTCCTGTCGTAATAATAAAAGGACCTCTCTCCATCTCGTGGGGCAGTGGTAAAAACAACAGGACATCTCAGTATCTGTCGCTGTCGCTGTTTCTCTGTCTTCTCTTCTCCCATTTCCATCCATTTTCCATCCATTTCCATCCGAAAAACCCAGATAGGCAGGCGACAATGTCGGCGGCGACAGTCGGGCATCAAAGTCGATTATCACAATTTTCGGGATTTGCCTTAAATCACGCACCAGCAGTCGGAAACAACTCAATTAAAATTCCTGGAATGTAGCGCAATGTGTAGGCTCTGTGTCCTTTTTCCAGGCGGTTTTTGTGGTTTCTGATGTGGGCCCCAGGCTCCTGCTAATCCGTTAAATTAATGATAATGCGCGCAGCAAACTCGTAAATATCGTTGGGTCAGCCCCGTTGGACATTGTAGTGTCTGCTGTTGCTGTTTCTGCTGCTGCCAGCCGAAAGATCCCGAAAAGCCCCTCATCTTGGCCCTAAATTCCATTCACACATGTGGGAATCCGAGGGGCATTTCCACGGGATTAGCTAAAGTGTTTGAGAAGCGCGGAGAAGGGCACACAGAAAGTAAAATTTTATTATAAATGTTAAAAAAAACTTTTTGGAGGGTAGATATACTAGAAATTTAAAGACTCCTTTCCAACTTCTTTTAGATCATTTAGTTACATATCGTGAGAAGAGCGAAGAAGGGCTGCCAGTTAATGAAACTATTTAATTGATAGAAAGAAAAAGCCAAAAAAGAATATATAAATATTTAAATTATAGAAAAAGTTCCCTGAATGTTTAGCATATTTTTGGTTCATAGACATGCGCAGAGATCTGTTATTCCCCTTAAATATTGACCATTGTTTGACCCACTGAATTGAAGCAACCCTGGCGGCCATATTTGACCAAACCGGGGGATGCATACGTTGGCTCTGGAGATTTGGGGATGCCAGGGTGCTAAGGGTTAATTTCCAACGCTCTTTAGCTCTGCGCTTTTAGACTATAAAATCAAAGGATGAAATTCTAAAATTTATTATAAAAAATCTTTAGGAATAACTTTAATTCCTGAAAACAGCGAATTTTATTATTCACCTTTAAGGGACATCCTTTTTTCTGCGTCTCTTCAGTTGTTTTTAACAGACTCTTTTTCTGGCAAAGTCCTGTGTCCTGTGGATCCTGTGTTGTTTGTGTCCACGTCTAAAATCCCTACCCCAAACCCAAAATCCAGCTGGTGACGAAGGCAATTTGCATTTGAACGGGGTCGTGTTAGCCACTGGGTGACAGGCATTAAATAATTAACTCGCATTCAACATTTATAAGGGAGCACGGGAAGGGGGAAATGGGGATTTACGGGGGCCCAGACAACGTCAAGTAATCCCCAGAAGAAAACATTTAACATACGTAAGTGCCAATTGAATTAAAAACCAATAATATCAACCAAAAGTAACGAGCGGCAAGGAGAAGGGCAGGGGATTGTAAACGGAACATGTGTAGAGATATTTATTTAACAAACATTGAGAATTGAGAAAATAACAAGGGCGAAACGAGAGGTATGCAGAAAAAAGCACACTGCTAAAAAAAATAGGGGACTGGAAAAATTATTTTATGGGAAATATTATTATATTATCCAAATGAAATATTATTATTAAAGTTACAATTAATTTTAAAAAAGAAAAAAAATTTTGTGGAAATATTATTATATTACAAAGATAAAATATTATTATAAATAATTATAAAATTATAATAAATTAAAATTAAATGAATATGAAATAAATTAGTGTTTTGACATTCGTCTCAAATGAATATTATTTTCTGATGATTACAAATATTTCGCACTGTGTAGGGGAACAATGCGAGGAAAAACCATCAATAAGGGGGAAGGGCGAAGGGAACAGGGTCCGGCGACAATCGAAATGCGAATGGAAAATCAAAGGTGAAAAGATGTGAAAAGCAAACGGAACGTGCACGGGTAGCATTTAACCACCCGCCCATTTCCCTTTGCCCGCTTCCCGATTTCCCGATCTCCCGATTTTCCACCTCCATTTCCACCTCCACATCCACCAACTCATGGGTAAGCCGCTGCTGAGGCACACATGACGTATTGGCAGGCGGTCCCTTGCCCCCATTTTTCCGCTTTTCCGCTTTTCCTGCTCGCAACTCCGGGGCACTTGAAAGCCCGGGCATATCTTGATTGTTTGCATGTAAATCTGCACAAAATCCCCAAAGTACCCAAGTACCCGAAGTACCTACCCAAAGGAAGACACAGAATCCTCCTGATTTTCCCCCCATCCCCCAGTTCGTCCCCCCAGGACGATGATGTCCTTGGCGCATCGCATCGCATCGCAATCCCTGGCACAATCGAACCAAGTGGAGTCCTGTGAGGAGGTGAGCAGAGTTTTCCAGGCGCGTTCCTCCTTTGTGACCGGCTCAAGGCGCTGCAGGTGTCTTTCCCATTGTTAACTTAATAGAAGGAATAATTTCTTAATTTTGGACAAACAAGATGGTACTAAAGAACGTTTTTTATTTCATGGAAAATAAACTACTCGTTGGTTAGCGAAATAGATGATATTAATAGATACAAATTATTTATCTGTTTTTGTAATTAATATTTTATTAATGTTAATATGTTATAAATCCTGTAATATCATATTTTAAACGATTTTGAATTTGAAGAAAAGTTAAAAGAAACCATTAGTGATCGATAAATGATGATTTTAATATTGTAAAAAATATTGTAAAAGAAATAACATTTATTTATCAGAGATTTATCTGAAAATGTAGTTAAAATGTGTAATAAAACCTACTAATTATTTTAATTATTTTTCCTTGAATAGCTCTTATAAGAGGTCCTTTAAGCCGGAACCTTTAGGACTTTCTCGACGGCCCCGTTCTTTTTTCCCACATTGCGTGGCCAATTTTCCGATTTTCTACGATTTTCTGCTGCTCGTTTTGTCCCATTCTTCGGGCTGCAGCTTCCTCTGTTGCCCATTTTCCATTTCCCTGCACCTCTTGTTAGTTTTTTTTATCCCCCCCCTCCTCCCCTTTCGATTCGTACAACTACCTTTATGGCTGCCACGCCCACTGCATTTATTGGAATTTCACAATAAACTAACGTGGAGGTGGAAAAAAAAGAGGATGTGATACTCGTAGGCCAAAGCCAAACCATGGCATTTGTACAAGTTTTTGGTTTGGCCGGGCTTGCTTTTTTCCTTACCCCTTTCTTCTTTCTCTTTTTTTCCAGCAGCCCCTAAGGTCCTTTTGCCTTTTTTCGCCCCCCTTTTTTTGCGAAGGATGTAATTAAAAAAGGGCCACAGCAACAGCATGGTGGTGCATAAAAAGAGAATGCTCGGGAGCTTGTAAACTTTGCAGCAGCACACGACACTCGAAGTTGCGACAACAGTCGGCCCCCCTTTTGTTGCCCCACCCATGGCATCCGTTTTTTGCAGACCCCCCAGGGGGATGGGGGGCAAATCGATGAGCTGCTCTAACGATATCCATAGCTCAAAGCCAAATCTCGGCACAAACAGGATATACATATGGCTCGGCAGTCAAAGTCAATCCTTCGCACATAGCCCCCCCTTTCACCCCTTTTCGCCCCACCCATGCGATGGGGCCGCATCCGTTGCGACTTGGGTTTTGTAGTCAAGTCAGCTCCTGTTTTCCCTTTTGCTGGATTTTTTCCCGCCTTTGTTTCTTATCGAGAGAGAGTCGCTTTTTTGCGGCTATTTTCTATTTTCCCTGTGATATTGACCCGGCGCACTGGCACTCAAAGGAAAGCTGGTGCACTGGCTTTCCCCCCTCCAGCCATTCATCCACGATTTTCCACCTTTTCCACCCATTTTCCACGCCTTGACGTATTCGTTTTAGTGTGATTTGTATGGATGAAAGGAGCAAGTGAAAAAGCTGCTGGAAAAATCAGCAAAAAAGCGGGTGGCGTGTGCATTGCGATTTCATGCTCAAAAGCGACTGGCCATCAAACGGAGCTGAAAGTGAAACGCTTAGACCCCCCCGCTTTTCCCATTTCCCCACTCGCCCAACGATCCCAATCCGGATCCCGGATCTCGGGACTCGGATTCAGTTTTTGAATGGCCGGCAACAGGAGATGGATGTGGAACAATGACGCCTCATCCTGAAGACAATAAAAACGAAGACGGGAGTGGTTTCAACAGGAATGCTGCCTCGGAATTCTCGGGGTAAATATTATTTTAGAAGATTAAATCAAGTAAAAAAAAATTATGTTTAGATGGCGTTCAGTGGATTTTATACCTCAAAAAGTTGTCAAAATATGAAGTTGGCATTTAAAGAAACTTGTCTCCCGGTCCTCTGGCCTCTGGATTTTCCCACCCCCACACTCACATTTTCCATTTCCATTTCCACCTTCGCCTCCCAAGGCAAGTCAACTGCCAGGGAAATGCAACATCGCATCCGTTACATGACGGCTTATGTGTTGCCGGTTGTCGGTTTCTGGTTGTTTTACGTTTGGATGTTGGGCCTCGTTATGCTCTTCCCCTTCGCCTAGACTTCCTTTTTAAAATTTAAATCTATCAAGGGGTATATGTCTGCTTCAATTGATTTAAATTAAATTTAATTTTTATGCATTTTATGTACAGCATTTTACTTTGTGATTTAACAGGCGAAATACGTTGAACAAGAAGTGAGTGTGAGTTTCTGGATCACTAATTTATAAGGTTTATAAGATCTCAAGATCGTGTCACTTGTCGAACCGCCCCGAATGGAGGGCGTGGCGGGTCACGAAGGGCTTTTCCTTGGGCTTGCGCAACTCCACCTCGTTGGCCAGCTCCTTGTACTTGTCGTTGATGTACTGCAGTCGGGAACTGTTCACAGTGTGGCGTCGACTCAACGGATTGTGGAGGGGCGTGCGGGGGCGTGGCACCGCCGCCGGGGTCTGTTCTGACCCCTCCTTATCCTGAGTATCGAGTTCCTCTGCATTGGCAGGGGATTCCCCATTTTGGACCAGAAACTGCGCCTTAATGCGTTGCGAATCTATTGGGAGGCATATTTATATAAGATTTAAAGAGTTAGGAGCTAGTTTTAAATTATTGAAGTATTTTTTTTTATATTACAAATATTTTGTAACATTATTTTATAGCAGTATAAACCTATTTATTAATATATAAGTAAACGAAGTGAAAAGCTTGCTTCTAAACTATTATTTAAAAGTCTTTTAACATTATTCAGATCAAGATTAAAAAAATTGGAAACCTTAGAAGCTTTTATAAAATTTTTAAAATATTTTTTACACTTATTCTATAGCATTAATATATTCACTTACCATAGCACATCATTCGCATTAGCTTTTGGGTCTGCCGGGCAGCAGATCTCATCGCGGATTGCATCCTAAGCATTCTGGGAAATTCGAAAGGCGAGCTGCCTTTAAGATTTTGGATTTATGTGTGCGTGGAAAATATATTCGGTCGGCTGGATAGATTCTCGGTTTTGGGTTGATTTTCTATTCCCTTGCCAGCGAAGTTGCGAGCGATTTTTCTGTGTAAAAAATGAGTTTGCCCGAAAAGTAAAAAGTGCACGGTGAAATGTGAAATGGAATGAAATGAAATGCCTGCCTGGGCGTGAGTGGAAAATCAGAGCCTCCTGTCCCCAGTCCAAAAAAAAATACCCTGATGGCATCCATTTATCCCCCCTTTTTCCCATTTTCCCATTTTCCAACCACTCTCCCCTTGCATGCATATTTATAGTTCCGCTTGTTGACAAATATCGCGCTCTGTTGACTGACGGAAAATTCATCGGCGTAGCGGAAAAAGCCGGGAAAGCGGCGGAAGCTGCACTGATTAGAAACATAGTGTGGTGTCCTCGCTGAAAAAGCGCTGGTGATGGCAAAAAAAAGGCAAGTAAAAAAATCACGCAGACCAAAAATTCTGGGGGAAAAAGAACCACGAGGAGCCGACAGGCCCACACTCTTTGATTATTTCGGGGGATCAAAAGAGTTGGCAGTGAAGAAGTGCTGGAATTTAGAAAATAATACGCTTGAATTGGCTGCACTTGGAAAAACCCCAATCAATAGCTGATTCAATATATTTTTATAATATTCGATTTTTCTGAGCATGTGAAAGATTTATTTATTATTATTTAAGATTAAGATATATTACCAAACTGAATATTTAATGTATTTATTTTATTAATTCCTATATAACTTATTTACTTATTTATTCATATAATTTATAAAATTTGAAAATTAATATACAAAAATATTAAATCTTAAAAAATGATATTTTGCAGTCTTCGTATAAAAATGCAAACAGACATCCTAAATAGTTTTGTATACAAGAAATAAAAATGCACTTGTCCTGGGACTGCACATCCCGTAGAGTCCTTTTTCCATATTCCCCCCTTTTCATCTAAACAAATCCTGGGCGATGAATACAAAATGCCAGCCAGCATCGCCGATTGGTGAGTTCGAGTTCGAGCGATTGAAATATTAATGGGTGGCCATGGATATGGGATAAGGGTTCCGAATCCGAATCCAAATCCGAATCCGGATCGCTGTGGCAGCGCCGGCGCTACACTTGTCTTTGTTCAGCAATTTGTGGCAACAATTGGCACAAAGGGCGGCGCACAATAAAAGCCACCTAAGACTACAGGTTGCACTGGCATGTGTGGATTCAGATTTCAGATTTCCGAATTTAGATTTCTCCTTTATATTTACCATTTACCATTTTCCATTGGCTATTAGCATTCGGCTAAGCCGCACTTAGGGCTAATATATGTGTGTGCATAGGCCGGGCAAAAGGATTTCCCAGACTGGCTGTCTGGGATAATCCTTCATCGGGCGATCGTGCAGGTCCTTTGTTTGGTTTTTCGTTTTCATTGTGCAACCGACACTTGTCCGAGCAACCATATATAGCATACATATACTGTGCATATCCTACAAAAGCACACCCGGCCACAAAGGACCTGCCAGGATGCTGAATGCTGAGCTGGATCGATCGATAGCCCTTTGTCCCTGCGCCGATCCACTCAAGATAAATTAGCCCACAAAGTGTGTGTAAGCTTAGCCCGGGGATTAGTTTCAGTGGTCGGGGGTTTGAGAACGCTGTTTTGGAACCATATTTTAGGTAGGTAGATCTTTTCCTCAGACGGCGTGTCTTCCGGTTGATTACTGCCTTTTAGCTGTAAGATGTAGTTTTAGGAATAATTATAAAATAATATAAATATATATTTATAAATATTTATAAATTATTAAATTAAATCTCTGGAATTCATTATTATTTTTTTTATCAATTTCCATATTTACTAATACTATTTTAAGTATATATGAAATTTGTTTGACCCTTCAACAATTTGTGATTGACTCAGATTTATTATTACTATTAGTTATTTACTAAATTTATTATACTAAAACATATTATTAAGAAATGCTATTGTAAGGCAATAAATTATGCATGTAATTTTTTTGTTGAACAATAGAAAAAGTTGTTAAATATGTTTAAATTTTTAAAAAATATTTTAATACTTTGATTTATATTATTTCTGATATTTATGTAGTGATAGACCATTGGAGGACCTTCCCAGTACTTCGTTTTCATCAATATTTTTCCCGAACTCGCCTGTTTTTCCTTAGCAACATCGAACGGGCAGAAGGCAGCTGAAACTGTGTACATAAAAAATTACAATACAGAAAAGTTTATTACGAGAAATCCATGAAAATCAATGGAATGCGAGTAATAAACAGAGAGCGCAGAGCACAGAGGGCCAGCGACTGCGAGGGGAGTGCAATTATTAAAATAATGTCCACAGGCCATTGAGTTCATAACGCGAATGAGGCCGCAATAAAATAAATAAATGAAGAGGAACTTGTCCTCAAATGAGGCATGCAAATGTCGCCAGGCGAAATAACAATGGGCGAATCCCTGAATCCCTGACACCCCGCCTCTCTAGAAACAGAAAGCAGAAACAGAATCATCAGCTCTATCATGGCCACGTCCTGGTCGATATGGTCCATGGTCCATGGCCCATCCTGCCCTGAAATTTATTAAAAACAAAGAAAGGAGAATAAAAGCGTAGCGTGGCTCTACGAAAATAACAATATCCAGAGGGGCGGCGACTTTGGATTGCTGCGTTTGATGCTGGATTGCTCGATTTTCGGCCATTGGCCACAGCTGTTGGCCTGCTGATAGATTAAAGGGCGGCCAGATATTAAATCTGGCTTTTTTCCCCTCCCCCCGATTTCCCCGTCCCGCATTCCTTGGCCGCGAGAAGATTATTAAAGAAATAAGATATCCGAGAAAAGGGGAGGAAATCCTGCAGAAATATGGCGGTGCTTCTTAATTGAAGGCAACCGGATTTCACGGTTCAAGTTTTCCGGGTGATGATGGTATAATATTTGGAATTGTTCATTGTTATTACGAACTACGAAAAGTACTTGGTATTTCCAGAGTCTTTATAAAATCTAAAATCAAATAAAAACATCTTAATTTAATTTTTTAATATTTTTTAATCATTCATGATTAGATTGAAAAATTTATAGCTAAATAAATTTGTAAAGAGATTTATGCCTTTTGAACTTTTCTAAATATTTTATAAATCTATAAGATATACAAAATTTGTAGAAAATCTCTCGTGTAGTGTACATTTTTTACACGAAAGTAAAAATACCTTTAAAATAGATTCCTTCTCATTTTTAGTTATTCTAAAGCCATTAAATTGCAAAAAAATAAATAACTGATAATTATAAACAGCCCTAATAATATTTAAAAGTATTAAAAAAATCATTAAACATTGAAGAACTAAAAACCAAATAATTATGCATGGTATAGGTAAAATATAATTATTTTTTTCTCAAAAAAAACTGTCGTATGTGGACTTTCCCACACGCGAACCATTAAAAATCATTCGACACTTTTGCCAATAAATGTTTTTTGCCAGGATTAGCGCTGAAGTGTGACTGTGTCCGGGGCAGTTTTAGTTTGAGTTTCACTCCCAGTCTCAACTTTGGTTCCAGTTTCAGGATCACAATTTACGGTCTGACCCCCGGGCAAGTGCTTAACCCGCCGCCAGTCGAGGGGGTGGAAAAATGCATTTAAAAAAAACAAGTTGAAAAGGCAGAGGACAAAAAGTTGAGAAGTTCAAGTGTATAATTTCGTAACAATTGGGACAGTTTTAGTGCTTCGCCGGAACGAACAAAACGAGGTTTTCGGTGTTTTGGTGTCGGTGGTTGCTCCTGTGTTCCATTCCCATTCCCATTCCCTAAAAACTTAAATGCGGTTTCGTGTTACACATGTGCGTCTAATTAGCGACTGCTTAACGATAACAAGGACTGCGGGTCGGAGGTCCTGTAACTAATATGCCAGAAAATTGGGGGGAAGGGGAAGCCGGGTCCTGTTAACGAGCATGAAATTATTATCGAACTGCGATTAATGGCTCGCAGGATGTGCATGTGTGTAGTTGTTGGCCCAACACTTGTCCTCGTAGGATGTGTGAAGGTCAGAGGTCGAGATCAAATTCAAATGCAACACTTTTCACACGAAATCCGGCGCCACGGCCTCAAGTGCACTTCCGTCTGCAATTCTCCGGAGAGGAGATTTCAAAAGACTCGGACCCGCAACAGCTGTTCAAATGTGTCTCCTTCTTCTTCCTTCCCAAAACTACTTAGCATACATATGTATATAGTGGGTATGCTGTTTGTGTGAAAGGCCCCAGGATCCAGAATCCAGGATTAAGCAGGATTGACTTGGTCAAAAAGGGTGGCATGGGGGGGTTAGGTTTTTTCCCAGCAAATCGGATTTGGAGCTTTGGGCGTTAATAATTGGGACCCCGACCGCTCTGATAAGTGAAAAGCTGCCGCTGCCCATTTGATCCTTTCCCAGTAAAATACCCTGTAAGGTTGGAAAAAACTAAAGGGGAACAAAGTACTCATACAAAAGTTACAATTTAAAAAAATATAGCCAAATTAATTTAGAAGTTAAAAAGTAATGTAAGGAATATTATTATTTAATATTTAAATTTATAGTAATAGTAAATTTTATAGTAATAAATAATAATTATTTATTTTTTTATTATGTATTTTGTTGGTTTCATTTAATATTTTATTTAGTTTTTTTAAAAAAAGAACCCAGGGTATAAAAACCTTTTCAGTTTTCCCCGCTCCTTTAATGCACTGCCTCTACCCCTATTTTTTTGCTTTGCCTTTCCTTTCTTTTGTGCAAATTGAGTTACCCCCCTTTTAGGGGGCGGGGCAGGGGCGTCGTTGGGGGGTTTCGGCTTCGGGTTCTACATTGATGCCCACTTTGTTTTAATGCGCGCTGATATGTGAGCCGCAGGGCTTAGGCCAGACACATTGGCCCAAAGGAAGCGAAAGGCCGAAGGTTTTCCAGGGAAATGGGGGCCGGAAAAGGGAAGGAAAAGAAGGATGGCCCACACACACATGGCCACTTTTTAAGGGACAGCTTGGTGTTGATTTTTCAACCGAGTCGAGCAAATTTGTTGGCTGGGATCCGTTGAGGCGTAGACCATAATCAACTTCAGTGGCCAAGACTCAATTTATATTTCGGCAATAACTTGCAGCAGCTGTGTGTTTGCACAGGGAGAAAAATTATTT